GAGAGAGAGAGAGAGAAATGCGACCTTTTGATATATAAATTTCCAGTTTTAAATAATTAACATTACTTTCATATTAATAACGTTATGATGTGCGTCATAAAAATTACATGAAACCTAGTTTATTTATCTTTATAATATGCATGATGCAGAGGAAGAGAGAGGGAACATAAGAATTCAAATTTTGTATCAACACATTATGCCGTGCATTAAAACTTTATATTTGCATTTATATTACGGTAGACAGTTGAGATTTATGGAATTTGTGTGACTCGCCGGTCCATCGTGTAATGAAAATGTTGGCGAATACCCAGAGTACATTTTATCGTCGCTAACGTGCGATTTGCCGGACGGAGGAAGTTATTGAATGGCTTTTGTATAGGAAAAAGGAGATTGAGCGGATGTCCGAGAACAACCCTTGCAATTGCTCTCCTTTCGATCTGAAGTATCCCGGATGGTGAGTTCTGACGAGTCCCACAGATCGAAAAATGCTATTGAAGATTGGATCGTAAAAATACTTCATCCACGCACTTTAACGAGACATTAGCATTACCTTTGAGAATTTATTTATTTTTTTTTCTTTCTCTTTCTCTATTATTACGCCAGTAATTTCCTCTGAAATTGGTGACGTGACCGTTAGAAGGAATAAACGAATTTTGAAAATATTCTAATCGGACAATGTATTTTTATGACACATCGATTTATTTTTTGTCTCTCATCTTTGTTTCCGGACTCGAGTTAACAGGTTGAACTATTATCTATCTAGGTAGAAATAATGATTTTTATTGTGTTTAGTTGAGACACAGACATGAATATATACATATATTTTGTTACCGTATTGTATTTTTCAAATTTTGTCACGTGTCGTGCAAAGTTTATGAAGCGGAAAAAGGCATGAAATGTAATGAGAGTGTCGTTGAAGTACTGGGTAATATCGAGTCGCGGGCTCTGTTGAAGGATCGATCGGAGCTCGCGGGCCAAACCCGCGATTATTGGCAATCGCGAAAAAAGCCAGTTAGCGGACGACTCGATACCGCTGATACCGCTGACACTCTGTCCAGTCTGTCGCGTAGCAGTTATCACGACGGTTTTTCCCTATCGATCGCTTTTGTCACTCGCCAAGATAGGATATGCAGACTTGCGCCCGTGCACCACGCGGATATCTGTTATCTCAATGGGAAATTACGTTACGGCTATCGATCCGCGGTAAACACCGCGATGGGAGCCGTTTTGCGTGTTTATCCGTGGCGAATCGCCATCGGTCGGTTCTGAGCGAGATTGAAAAATGTCACTTCCTTTACAGAGGGAAAAAGACAAAGGACCGCCTACGTGCGGCGTTCCCCAGATGCGCCTCTTTCCGATATTAAAAAACTCCGGACACGTTTGCAGATTGATAAAGAACGGGGATTCGAAAAACGCTCCGAGATTTCAT